AAGGACCGGTAGAAGACGAGAGCTCTGACGAAAGACTGACTCCTCGCACCTTCTTCCTCCCCCTCCTCCTCCTCCTCCTCCTCCTCCTCTTCTTCCTCTTCCTCTCTCAGATGCCCGGTCTGTAACCAGCCAAACTGCACAGTGCCAACGCCAGTGTCCACATCTGGAACTCGTCTGTTTATTGGCTGCTGCTGAATATTTGCATCAAATGCAAAACGGCCCCCCGATTCTCACAAAATCTCCATTTGGGCATCTCCAAACCGGTCGTCTGATTGGAGCGTTTCTTTCCTTGATCATATTCCTCCTTCCCCAACAAATCTGCTTCTGCCGAGGATGTTTTTTGGGGTCGGATGTGGGGTCGTCCGGCATCCTTTAAGTTTCTAAATTAGCGCTGTTCATGATGTGACTGAGGGCTGCTTAGGATTGCTTTCCACTCGTTGAGTCCTGATGCTTTTTTTGTGATATTTAACAGAGACTGGAGCATGTAGAGCAACAGGAGATTGTTTCTTTCTATACGACTGCAGCTGCCTGAATCGCACACGGAGCAACAAAACTTTGAATTCTTTGAGATGTTCTTGTTGCTTTGAAACATTTTTTCTCATCAAATCATGAAGTCCTCTCCACTACAGGATCACGTCCAGCTTGCCAGATATACATCAAGTTATAGCTTCTCCTGGATATTTTCACCATGACCTGCGTAGCCCCGTGTTCTCTGTTGCCTTTAATGAACACGGTCTGACACATAACACACAGAGCGGCTTTGTTTTCTGCATTTAATGACTAAACAAGCTGCCTGTGTGCAAACATGAGCAGTTGGGAGGAAGTGATTGTTAATGTGGATATATAGCATTTACACAGCTCTGCGTACAAAACTTTTTTTTCCCCCAAATGTTTGATAATTTATGCACCAATGTCATGCCAGAGGTCAGACTGCCCTGTTGAACCTGCCCTGAGCTGCTAACACATTGACATGATGTGAGGTTTACTCCGCAGGCCTACGTTTGTTTGTTTGTTTCTGCCGACATTTAAAGTGCATTCACACTCCTGCACGTACACAAACAGTGCATGAACTTAAGACGTGAGACAAAACACCGTCTTAAATCGGCACATACAAGTCAGAGGTAATCATGTAAGATTTTAAAATGCCATTTTTCACAGAAATGAGTTACAGGATAATCTTTTTTCTTTTTAAAATAGGTGGGATTAAATAGTTTATCTTAAAATAAAGACTGGAGGGAGGGGAGGGGAAACAGGCAGCCTGGCTCGGTCCAAAGTTGGGAAAACATGTACCGTTAAACTTCAATTAATAGCCTGGGCTATTATTTGCTTAAATCACTTAACTCAACAGGCCTATGTTTGGGACAGGCCTTTAATTCCTTTCACCTACAACCAGTCAGAGCAATGAAACGTGAAGTAGCGCTGAGCAACATACAAATGTAAACAGACTACAGCGTGGCGAGATGTGGTGGTGTAGCATCAATATGTCTGTGAACAAGTGTTGCTGATTTTGCCATCACAATTTTAACATAGTATTTCAACAGGAAGTTAAACATCAGCTTCAGCCATCTTTGAAAATGCCTCAATAGCGCTTCTCTTACTCAGCTAGGTGTTAGCTCCCTTGTGTCACTAGGGTGAGCAAGCCGAATAACGTCATCACATATTTTTGGCTCTGCCAGTTGTCAGTCATCGAATCAAACATGACCAATATTAGATAAATGATTGTGATTGGTCAGGTCCTTTGGAAATCTGTCTTAATGGGAGGGGGACCAGACATACCAGAGCAAATAAAACGAGCTCAAAGACTCGCCTGATTCCCAGACTACCTGTGTGCAGCAGTCAGGGTGAATTAGGGTGACTGGTCTGTGTGTTTAGATCAAAGTTACATTTGATTGAATGTCTGATTCAGATGTGACGTATCGCCTGAAGCTTCAACTGACAAATTTTCACTTTCATGATAAACATTTACTGTACATGACGCATATGAGCAAAAATATTTGTAACAGGGCGACATCACATTTAGAAAAATACATTTGTAGTGTGCCATCATGATCTAAATGCTGTTATATTACTTATTATTAATAGTAAAGAAAAAGCAAGACACAAAGGATGTTTGGTTTCATGCTGACGTTACAACAATGAATTAGTTTTGAAAACCCAGACGGAAAATCCCCTGCACAGTATTTTACAGACTGTTGAGCCACAAATTTTTTTTGCAGGTAAATGACTTTAATTGTAACTAAAGAGATGCAAACATTATTTTGCTTTTTTTTTTTTTAATTTTTCGATTGATGGATATTTAATTTTGCACTTTAACATGGTGTACATCAGTGACATCACTGGACAATGAGCCTCGTTCATCTCATTCATTTGTAAAAATATTTCCGAACAATAACCTCACCTTTCTGTTTGCAGCTTTTGGTTGAATATTAATATTTGTGAATGATTTAAAAACAGTGTCACACAGATGAGTAGTTTGTGCAGCGTATACACAATATTTCTGAACATTTACAAAAGTTAACGAAGCTGAAGTTGCAGATTATTCGAATGTGAACAAAGAGACGTCCTCTACCTGAAAGCCGACGGATCAATCAGATAGAAACCAACAGCTGGCTGCTTTGAGCTTTTCTAAACCATCTTTATGTTCCTGTTGGTGTCTGCTGACGTCAGACGTTGAATCAGAGCGACTCCACAGGAAGTAAAGATGGCTGTCATCATAACCAGTTTTGTCTCTACGTGAACAAACTTTATCGGTGTGCAGTTTTTTATTTGTTTTTACATTATGCCATGTAATATGAAGCCGTAACAGATTTATCATTGTGAGGTTTGATTTTGCTGTACAGATAAAAATTTGTCAATTTAATAAACCTGTCTGCAGATTTTCATATCTTTGGCTCCACCTGAGACTTTTTAAATGTTCATGTCATCTTTACTTATGTGATACAGAAGCATGAAAACAGATTGATGCCCTTTCTAGAGGACCAAAAGTGATTATAAACTAATGACAACATGCTTACAAATATTCAATTTCTGCCAATAGATGCTCCTAAATCCTACACACTGGACCTTTAAGGCACAACTTAAATGCAGAGTTTACACTGTGGTATTAATACTTTTATTTAAATAAAATATCTGAGTACTTCCTCTACCTCTTCTGTCCGATGATAAATGGACCTGCGCTATTCACACACACATTCACACACTGGTGGCCTAGGCTACCACACAAGTTGCTACTCAGTTTCTATCACACTCACACATTGATGGAATAGCCATCGGGAGCAATTTAGGGTTCAGTATCTTGCTCAAGGATGCTTCGACATGTAGGCTGGAGGAGCCAGGAATCGAACGGTCAATCTTCAGATTGGTGGGCAACCCCTCCACCTGATCTGAGCCCCATAGATAGAAACTTTATGTCTGAAAATCAGCATGATGTTGATGTTTTTGTCTGCGTGCAGGTTGAACCACCAGGTGGCACTACTGTCATTTAAAGGAAGCAGATCTCAAACTCTCTGGCCCAAACACACCACCTGCTGACACACCCCAGCACAAACACGCATCAATTTAACAGGTGATCAGATTATCACTTGAATGTAATGCTTTTAAAGATATTTTCAAGATCATTTTAACCAAATTCAAGACTTCTTTTTGGACAAATCATCTTTTTCTTATTCAAGCATTGCAGGCAAGTATAAAAGTAAACAGTATATACATGTGGCCCTGTGCAGAGGTAGATTTTATGTTGTGAGATAGGTTAATCTACATTTTGCCAACAGGCAGCTGAAAGTACGAAGTAAAAAGAGAGAGTACTAGGTTCAGTGGTAGGTATAAAGATTTGTAACATCAGAAATGTGGACTATCACACGGGACAGCTAGACTTATTTTAGACTTACCTGCCTACTGTTTATGCTTCCTCTGCAACCCGCCTCCACTCCAGCTTCTCCTTTTCATACTCTCTCTGCCTTAGACTGTCCACATAGGCGCATGGAAGAGGCTTTCTGTGTAGGCAGAGGCCCCATAATAGAGCCATACTGCCAAATGGAAATAAAGTTTTCTTTTTCTTTGCTTTCTAAAGTGGTCCTGACTGAAATTACTTTTAAGGCCTAATGTTATATATAAATTAAATTTAAAGGGATAGTGCACCCAAAAATGAAAATTCAGTCATTATCTACTCACCCATATGCTGAGGGAGGCTCAGGTGAAGTTCTAGAGTCCTCACAACACTTTCAGTTTGTTTCAATTATGTGGTTTTGGACGTTTGAATCTGGGGCACCGTAAGCCTCCATTAGGTGGAGTTGTGTTGCTACCCACTCTCCCCTGGGATCTCCGCAAGGGATGTGAGGACTCTAAAACTTCACCTGATCCTCCCTCGGCATATGGGTGAGTAGATAATGGCTGAATTTTCATTTTTGGGTGCACTATCCCTTTAAGACACTAAGACCTTTTAAGGACCTGTAGACACCCTGGTGACCCTCTGTCATCCTGATAAAGGTCACAGGACACAATAATATTGATTTCTTTGAGTGTCTGGGTTCCATTACTTTTTGATGGGAACTGTCATAATTGACATTTTCTGTCTTAATAAAGTAACAGATTTATAATTACAATAACATTAAGCTAAATAAGTATTGATAAAGAGTTGTCTAATAGCAGGGCTGCTACTACTTCTGTTATATTGGAGAGAGGGCAGACATCTCTATGGCTGCTATCTCCAACGCTCAGCAGCTCACACTGAAACAATCTTGGCACAACAGGTAAGAGGGAAAAAAATTTATTTTGGATTTTGGGGTGAACCGTTTCTCTAATCTGATGATTGTGAGTTTCATGGTGAACTGAGATGTAAAACTTCTCCACCTGTGAGTCACGTAACCTGACAAATGAAAGAATTGAGTGAGACTTGTACTTCCTGAACCAGGAAAATATCTCCTCTCAGTACTTACTTGGAATCTCTGCAGCATACTCTATCCATTAATACACTATGAAATCAATATGAGGACAAAAGAAAGTTCCATCTGCAGAAAGCTCTTTATTGTTGCTTCCCACTTTATTGTCTGTACATGTTATAATTTTGTAAAGAAAAGGAAAGAATGAAGGAGCAGCACAGTAGCATTAATATCCTCTATGACCTCTCTTATTATTCAGACGTCTACGTGGGTTAGCTGTAGCGATGCTCGGGTCAGCAGGACAGACGAGGAGGAGGAGGAGGCTCCCTCAGACACAAACCACAAACTTAAACAAGATAAACCCAAAAACCGGACAGAATATTATCACTTATGATTTCAGATGTTTGAGGTGCTTCGTGATCGCAGCACAGCAAAACAAAACTAGCAACAAACCACCTTCCACAGGTTAAATGACCCAAATCTAAACAGTCAACTTCACTCTCACCTTCGTCAGCCCTAAAATGAAGAACGATTGCTAAAATAAAGAGGAGAATAAATTATAAAGTAAAGACGTTGACTGTAAAAATGCTATTCTTAAAAAATAAACAGGTAGCAACAGTTTAAACCGTCCATACTCAAAATCAGTTGACTTTATATAAACATGTAGCTATCAGATAAAAAAGAAAAATCAATGAAGGAAAGAAAGTGAATTCAGTGTCACAACCTAAAAAATCTACAAAATAACTGAAGCATGCTGATGTCGAGATGAATGAACCAATCAAGTGAAGCGTTTTAAAGTCCAGGTCACAGGAGATTCTGCTGGTTTCTACTGGGATCAGACTGGTCGTCACTCAGCAGACGGCTGTAGTTCCTTGCTCACACAGCAGGGCGGCGCTGACATTTCTAGCCTCAATTGACTAAGGCACTGACAGTCTTTCATTGGGTTTGTTTCAGCTCTTCTAGTCAAGCAGAAACCACAGCTGAGCAGAGAGGATGATGAAGATGAAGAGGTGCCTCCAGCTGCAGTTCCACTAACGGCCACTAGATGCTGGATCACAGGCTGAAATCTACTGAAGAACAGTCCCAAAGTCTATATTAAAATTATTTTTACCCCACAAAGAAGTCGATTTTATGTAATGATGAGAATACCAAGGCTTTAAAAAATGTTTGACATTTTGGAAAATACACTTACTCATTTTCTTGCAGAGATTTAGATGCGAGGATCGATATCACTCTCATTTAAGACTCCAGCAGCCAGTTAGCCTAGCTTAGCATAAAGACTGGAAATGGGGGGAAAACAGCTGACCTGGCTCTGTCCGAAAGTAACAAAAATCCAACGACCATAGCAGACCTTTCTCAACACTTTAATCTTCCACCTGCAATTAGCATTTAGAGTTTTAAGCTCTTAATATGGTTGTTTCTTGCCGAAATGTACCTTGGGAGCAAGGTTATTATGGTTAAATTAAAAAAAAAAAAATACTAACAACTAAAACTAGGTGTGAAAAGATGTTCATTAACTTAAATAAACAATAAAAAATTGGAAACTAACTGAAACAATATTTTGTACTCACAAAACTAACTAAAATAAAGGAAAAGCTTTTAGTTTTAGTCTTTGTTAATTTGGTATAATGAGGCATTTGTGCTTATGTTTATTAAGACAGGGATGTCTTTATGACTGTGAATCAACTGCCCTCACAAAGTGTTGTTTGATTTGTATTTCTATTCTAACCTTCTTAAATATTGCCCCTGACAAATATATTATAATAAACTAGAATTACCACCTAGCGATTGTATGTCCCCGCCCATCAGTCAAGTTGCAGTTACAGGTTACATCTATATATGTGAAAACAGACATGGATCGGTTGCTCATCTGTGACAACCCGAAAACATAATGCCTCTAGCTGCTATCATCAACACAGAGGCATAAAAACCTAAAACTAATACTGAAGATAATAAAATCTTGACTAAAATTTAACATTTAAACAATAAACACTAACCTGAAACAAGCAAACCCACTTTGGAAACTAACTACAATCAAACTGAATTGAAAAAAAATAAAAAATAAAATCAAATAATACTAAAAAGGAATGAATATTACAAAACTGTAATAACTCTGCCAGTTGTATTTATTTTGAACCTCAAATTTATTTTGTACAAAAGTTAGACTGTTTTCTATTAATCTTTTATACTGATGTTGTAATCCTAAAGCTGTAGAATTGTTCACATAATAACAACAACAAAGAATGGAACTTCTACTTCCAGATCAAAGTCAGTAAACCTTCTTGTCTTTATGCTAAGCTAAGCTAACGGGCTGCTGGCTTTAGTCTCATGAGAGATATGAGAGTATCCATCTTCTCATCTTACTCTGTAGGAGAGCAAGTTAAGCCTTTTCCTCAAATGTCAAATTATTTCTATAATAAGAGGCATGTTTAGTAGTTTGTTTGACTGACTGACAGGTGTTTCAGCCAATCACAGTCAGGCATGGTGGCTGCTCTCACTGCTGTTCCACCCTGGCTTCTTCCTCTTTGATTAAATGTGGATTTTCTGACTCTAGAAACTGAAAAAGATGGCAGCGAGCAGAAAACCAAAACTCCAGTTTGATAACTTGCGTCCGTGTTTTTCTACAAATGTCTGTTGATGTTGGCAGGCCTTCGGAGACCTCTTTAAAACAACAATGTCGTTGACCTTGAGCTGAGTAAACAGCCTGTCACAACAAGTGGACTTTTTCCACTGGCTGAGTTTCAAAATCGCAGCTCAAACAACAGGAAAAAAAAAGCAAACTCAGAGTCGAGTTTTACAGTCGGTAACAAAAACTGTCTGGTGGTTTCACTGTCTACATGTCAGCACTACTAGCTTCTGATTGGTCCTTGCATCGTGAGTCTAGTTGTACCATTGGCTGGGTGACCAGAGAGGGTGGGCCATCAGGAGGCGACGACCTGGACGTAGTTGGCGGGGTAGAGGCCGACCTGGCCGCTGCTCAGCTGTCCTTTACACCAGCCCTGCTCGTCCTCTTCTCCCATCTTCAGCAGCTCCTCGCCTGGAGGAAGATGATGGTCAGACATGTTAGTTTAAAGGCGTTGTGTTTAAATAATGAACCTGAAGGTCGGAGGACGCATTCATTCATAATAAAGATAACACTGGAGTAGGGCAGGCCGCCTGTCTCTGTTTATTAGTGATCTAGGTCTGGTTCAGGATAAGCAGAGCTGAGCTGAGCTCAGCTAAGCTTTTCCAAACTAAGATCGCTCTCTCTGTGGTCCTATCAGGTTTCATTAACTCAGCGTCCCTCTGACCCCCCACGAGGCACGACCGCCTGCAGAGGACGGACTAAAGCTCCACAGAGTGGCCTGGTTAACCACGGCCAACCAGGGCAACATTACATTCAGACCCGAGAGTTTCATCACCAGCTCTGCAGCTCCACAGAGCGTTTTAGCCTCTGTTAGCTCATGTTTGGTTTCACGGCTCATCATGGTTCAGTCTCATTTTTTACCCAGCAGCTCTGTAGCTCGCTCTTGTGTCCACGAATATTTCCCCGCCCTCTGGCTGCCAGTTTTTGGCCTAGGAGGCTAAAATTTGACATGAAGGTCGCTGCTGTTGTCGATTTACCCCTGCTTTCTCATTACTTTATTACAAGGACAACTCAACAAATCAATCCTGTTTTCAGCAGTAAAATAGAACTTTTAATGTCCTACCAGAGCAGAAAATTAGTTTTTGTCTCACCGAGTAAGACAATAAACACAACAAAAACGAACACTCATTATTCAGAGTCCTATGTGACCTCCATTTATTCCTTTCTCTTCCTCCATGTGCTTTGGTGCAGGCTGTAACACCTGACACAAGTCAATGTCATCATAACTCTGCCTTCTACTATGGAGTGATGGGAGGAAGACTTAAAGAAGTGGCCTATGACTGAGTACATAACAGACACAACTTGACATATTTTTTACTCCAAGTAGCAAATTTGACCAAAAGACGTCAAGTTTGCAGCTACGAGTTACTCTTTAAAAACAGGAGAATATTAATTTTCTAAGCATCAGAATATGCACACAGTACACACAGAGCACCTGTTAACAATACTCTTGTCATAAAGGTCATTTAATTAAAGAGCTCATTTGCACTGAACAGAAAAACAGATCTGTGTATCTGACTGTAAACACTTCATATATACACAGTTAATGACAGTGATCCATCAAACAGCAAAGTACCTCAATACCATGAAGTCTCTCCTCTTGCTCCGTTAATCACTTTTCGTTTGAAGGACTTCAGATCTACTGCGTTATTTATAAAGTCCTTTTTTAAAAAAGGTGACTTTATTTAACTTACCTGACATGAGTGTGTGGTTACTGATCAGATTATTCTATTGATAACCCCTCAAGTTAGGATAAACACATAATTAGTGTTCTTGATATTCAGACAGACGTCAAAACATCGAGTGGGTCAGGAAGATAAAACCACTCAGAAAGGGTTTTATTTCCAACAAGAATAATAACAGTGTTCATATTTAATAAAGCAGAGTTTTTACTTTCACACTAAAAGAGAAAACTTTAGCAGCAAGCTGTTCCTTCAAAATAAAAGCATCGATCCTCTGACCGACTGTTTTGAAATGCTTTTACTTCCACACACAACAGGTGATGTGAAGCTGCTCACACTTCACATCTGTCACACATCATGCAGCAAAAACACACAGTTCTCATGTTATCAGCGGATTTACGTTTCTAACCTTTGCAATAATGATTCAATTCAAGTCACAGAAATTAGCCAGATTTATATCTTAGATATGATGTATAATTTGTCTTATAAGTGTCTTAAGAGTCTCATTTATTTCAGTTTAACAAATTATGTGGTCATTTTATTGGGCGGTGGTGGGAGTTAGAGCAGTCATCCACCAATCTGAAGGTCGGAGGTGTGATCCCTTGGCCCTGCAGTCTACATGTCGAAGTGTCATTGGGCAAGATACTGAAACCCAAACTGCTCACGATGGCTTTTTTATTGGTGTGTCAGTGTGTGTGTGAATGTTTATCTAATGAGCAGGTGGCACCTTGTGTTGTAGCCTCGGCCACCAGTGTGTGAATGGGTAAATGGTGCCTGTAAAGCACTTTGAGTGGTCACAAAAACTAAAAGATGGCATATAAATGCATCCATTTACCATTCTTTGATCTAAACACAGATGGTAAGTAAATAAGGAGGCAGCTTTCATTTTCTGCTTTTCAAAGTCTCTGTGACTCTGAATCATTAATGCAAGATCCATGAACTTAGAGCGACCGGCTCAACAGGTCACAGAGCTGACTGACATGCAGACTGAGGTAAGATGTAACAGGTGTTTTTTCCCCATTAGTCTTACTGCATTTGATCATCAGTACACATGTCTGTAACAATGTGTTTGACATGAGTGTAAATGTGTTAAGATGAGGCATCACAGGAGGACAAAAAGGATATGTTTTTTAAATCTTTTTAGACATTTTCAGGATCTAAAATTAAAACTCGGATGTATATATATTTATGTATAAATACAGTACGTGTTCTTATATTCATGTAAGCCTTAAAAAAATGTGCAAATCACTTGCAAATATAAAGGAATTTGTTCTCTCGTTAAATTCAGATAAATATCTTGGACTCATATTGAGAACATGTACAAAATGCCATCTTACAAATAAGTAATAGTAAAAAATAGTTTTTGGCATTTAAGTATCGGCTCTGTTTCAGCCTCTGCAGGTGCCGGTTGGTTTTGTACTTGACATGTTTATTGCAGCTGAAGATTTTTTCATAGTTTTATGTTTTGCACATTTTATGAAACGACAGCAGATGTAAAACTAAAACCAAAACATCATCACTCTCCCCTGTGATGCCTCCCCGTCTGTGAGCATTAGTAAGTGTTAATACCTGCTTTAAAGCTGAGCTCATCGGCCTCCTGGCCCGTGTAATCATAGAGCGCTCGGACTCGCACCCCCTCTACCTGATCCTCCTCGTCCTCCGCCTCCCCCACGCCGTTCAACGCCAGCACCTTCTTAGGACTCTCCTCGTCTGACCAGTCCGACGAATAATCTTTCACCCTGAGTGAGGACACACCAAAAATACAGAGTCTGGATGACAGAAAATTATGTTGTTTCCCCAGCACCTGAATGCAACATCACAAATAATGTAAAAATACTGTAAAAATGTCTACTCCTCTACAACTTGGAGGTAAATTTAGTGCTTTTTACTCCCATAATTTATTTGACACTAATAGTTCCTTTTTAAATAAAAAATATATATGATGTCATACTATACCAGCAATCTACCAAGCTGTATACAAAATATCTAAAACTGGCTCTAAAATATCCTCAACCATATCTGGCTGCAGCCACATTCCTACATTTTTGGTAACCCCCCCCCCCCCCCCCCCCCCCCCCCCCAAATCTCCCCAGGTTACCGTTCATCACATGTACTCCTTTAAACTTAATGTACCCTGACGAGCTGTTGTAAATAAGCTAACAGAGGAGCTACGTCACATGTCTCCTAGCAACCACAGCTGTCGTCATCGTGGATGTCCAGTAAAGAACAAGAGTGTGTGAAAATGTCTGAGTGTTGGAGGTTCAGACACCACGGTGAGTTTATTTCTGTATATGACCGGATTAGACAAAGAGGCAGAGCAAGACACACACACACACACACACACAAACACACAGCTTTCTAGCTTCTAATTAGAGTTCATTATGTACAGGATAGTAACTCCTCAGGGTGACTACAAGATAACAAGCTAAACTACATGCTGCCTCTATATCTGTTTCTAACACACACACACACACACACACACACACAAATGTATGTTGTGCATCTCTGTGTGTATGTACAAGAAACTGGAAAAATTGTAGAAGCTTCACTCAGAGTTTTGTTAACACTTCACGCATCTTCAATAAACTCCAAAAACAGAGCAACCATTTTCAGTAGGAATAAAACTGAAATCGAGTCCCATAATGACACATGATAATAATGATTGCTGTAACTAGTCTGCAGCAAACGTGGAGGTGTCTTCCTACCTGCTGGTGTCCAGGGTGATGGGACTCGGAGGGACGTCATCTCCACCTGAGGAGACGATGTTGGTGAGGGTGACCACGTTTTCCTCAGAGTGTCCACCTCGCTCCTTCCTGCTGATGGAGCGACTCGCCTCTGGAGACCACTCCTGCACAGACACACAGACACACACACACACACACACACACACACACACAGATGAAAAGTTAAATTCATAAGCAAAAAAACACATCAACTCCATACTCTCAGTGCTTTTCAATAGGTCTGGTATGACGACTTGCATATGGTGGACATACAGTATAAGCAAACCTCCAATAGATACTGATGTGGACTGACATTACTGAGTCAGTTTGCTAACTTCTACACTGTCAGTCAATCATGGACAAGTCCTCTGTGGCCACGTGGCCGCTTTTCAGCAAATTTAGTTTTAAAATTCTAAAAATTCAGATTACAAAATTCAAAGTTGTGGTGACAGAGCCCAACTTCATTTCTTAAGTCAGGCTCAGTCTACAGGAGTTTTAAAGTCCTGACCGATTTTGAAATTGGATTGCATCACGCACGTGAGGAGGAACTTCACAGATGTTGATCTCTCCCATCTCAAACATGCAAACGCTACAATATTTAAAAAGTGTCCAACCAACCAACCAACCAACCAACCAACCACCCAGTCAACCACCCACCCAACCAACCATCCAACCAACCCTTCTTGTATGTCATGGGGGCAGCAGGCCAAGCAAAGCATCCCAGACATCCCTCTACCCAGCAACACTTTCTAGCTCCTCCTGGGGGCCCAAAGGCGTACCCAGGCCAGATGAGATGAGATATATAATCCCTCCAGTATGTTCTGGGTTTGCCCTGGGAACTCCAGTGCAATAACACTACAAAATGCTCCAGCCCATTAATTAATTTTAATGAGTTCTCTCTGGTATTTATATTCCACTCAGAGGATTAATAATCCTGTGGTAAACTGCAACATTTTCTGATGTAGAAAATAATAAAATTCTTGTAAGAGTATTCGTGGAAAATTATAATAAATGAAAGTTAATACGTATTTCAATGAAAACAAAAACACCTGTTGTGAAAAAACAAATAGATTCTGGTCTTGAAATATGTTGCTAATATAAATGCAAAATCAAATGTGTTTTTATGTCTTAGTGTCCAGTTAATGATCGCTCTTGCCCTGCAGAAGATAATCAGTGGAGTCTGATCTGATCACACCCAGACACACACACACACACACAAACACACAGACAGACACACTTTGGGCATAATAACAGGGTGCTGACAGAAGTAGGTGGCTGGGGATACAGTTACAGGTATTTACAGTCTCAGTGGAGCACAGAACAACCTCCAAACTATCAGCACTACAGGAGGTGTGTGTGTGTGTGTGTTTGTGTGTGTGAGAACCAAATGTCCTCACAGGCACTGAATTAACACCAAACATACAATGAATGTTTCAGGTGTATGCGTGCAGCGGATGAGATACAATTGGAGTTATGAATGAATGTACTCAACAGAAAGTCTTCAGAAATACAGAAATGCAAATGCGTGTGTGTGTGTATGTGTGTTGGGACAATGGCTCTCTGTTTGCGTGTCAGCGGCGCTGTGGGAACGCCAGGAGATTCCTCAGAGGACACAAGATATCCATTTCTTTCTGCCAACCTCTGTCCACACTTATTTTTCTATTCTGGAAAAACTGGAGATGATAAATAGTGTTCAGTTTGTAATTACAGCACTGATTCTCAGAACATGAGGAAATTTCCAAATCCTCCTCAAGTGAGAAGAAAAGCTCATGTATTTGTTGCGGTTTCAAATTTTACACTAAGTGTCAAACTCTTTACTATTACACTGACTTCCTGATCTCAACACTGTACATTAGTCTGAACCCAAATAATCACCTGACTGTCACCTGACTTCATGACAAAAACAACTGAATTATACTTTAAGCTGTTTGTGCAGTACTGAACTAACTGTCCAGGACTCAGCTGTCATTCTTTATTGTTACACTGGTACCAAAAATAGTAGCACTTCACTTTAATTCCCCCTGTTTAGCGTTCATGGACAGTATACAATATAAGCATTTAATGCAGGGCTCCTACAGCTAAAGGCAAGTTAGATTTAAGACTTTGTAAGACTTTTTAATGCCGCTCTGAATAAAATTTAAGACCATTTTACAATTACTGAAACTGAAGAAAAAAAGGAACTGAACTGACCTCAATTACTTAGGGTACTGTTGAGTTTTGTGCAAAACCACTCATTGAACTACAACTCATCTCCACAGTACATGTCATGAACATCAGCTAGCTAGCTGCTTAGCTATGTCGCATGCACAAATGTAATGTTATTTTACCTGATTTATCTTATCCAGATACTCCTGGTCTTTTAATCACCCGTGATGCAAAAAATAGGCGGTTGCTAACAAGTGGCTAAATGAGACTACTGAACACCATCATGCCAAACACAGCTTTACAGGGTTGTTGTGGTGGCTATATTAAGTCATGCAACCGTAGTGTAGTTTGTTTATAGACTAACGTTAGCTATTCACTTCAGGCGATTGCATTTACCCATTAAAAATCATGAAAGTGGTGTTCATTTGTGAAGATTATCTCACTGAACAAAATGTGTAAGGATCATAAACTTGTTTTATTTTTCTGCAATACTCTAAAATCCAAAGGAAATATTCAGTTGGCCTTTTGTCAAGGGAACAAGATGGACACTAACTTCCAGGCTGGCCAGCAAATAAATGTCACCCCTGCAGAACTCTGTGTATTTGTTAACAAATATAACTCCTCCTGTGCACACCTGTAAGCGGAGGCTGCTGCATATAATGGATGACAATCGTAATACTATAAAATACTCTTAAACTGTGGACAAATAAAAGTGTGATATAAATATTTGTTAAATGTTTATAATCTGTTTATCAGAGCTGAACAGGGAGACTTAAAGTGTTACCCCTGAAAGAAGTATCGGGTGTCAAAAACTGCCTCTGAATTCATAGCATTCTTCAGAAACATACTTTTCAAATCAGCTTATAGATTCCTGCAGATTAGACCACACACACACACACAGGCCAGTGTACACGTGTGCTTACAATATGGCCAAACAGACCCACTGCGTAAAAGTGTGTGATAGTAGTAATGTGGAAAAATACAAATAAACACTTGAAAGCTGGAAGAAGTCCTTCTAAGATTAAAAAGCAATTCCTGCAGCCCCTGATTCGGAAAATGTTAGCATGTCCAACTCAAGTAAAAAAGTGTGTGAAATAGCTCAAAGTCAACCCGAAGACTTTTTTTTTTTTTAAATCCTTTTTATATAAAGGAGCAGAAAATCTAATTTATGGCAGCAGTGGTTGACCTCTTATCTAGCCAGATTAGAGGCTTTGGTCCACCTAGCTACAACTAATGTAGTCCAATACAACAGTCCTGCAATAACTCCTACTATCATAGGGTTAGGGTTAGACTGTATAACATTCAGTTTTTGTTGAGACTGTTTCTGAGAGCTGCTGGTCCTGTTTTAGAGGATGTAATTTGTGCTACTATTGAATTTGACTGCCTTATACCAAGAGGTATTTCTCATATTGTCTACCCTCATTGAAATAAATGAGATACAGTCTTTTATTTGGTATTTACAGCAGTTAATAACAGATAGAGGAACTGCTGAATCAATGCAGACTTAATTTTATTCTGCTGAGCTTTTAAAACATGTGGAAAGTCTGGTTTTCATATGTCAGAATCTGCCTCTTTGGGCCCATAAAAGCTTGTGTGTTTTGGGATGTTTTACTGCACTCATTTAACCTTACATGAACAACGCTGCTCTGAGCTGACTGCATTATGTTCAGCATCATGCTGCCACTGGACAGGCTTTGTTTTAACATGGCCTAATGGCATAATCTTCACTCAAGGAGTTAAGTGTGATTTTCAGACATCTAATGCAGAAAACAGAGAGATGGATTTAACGAAATCTGCAATCTTCAAACAGACTTTCTGTGGTCCAGTTGCTGCATTTTCAAGTATTGTATGTTGACTCCTTTGTATGATTTGAAATTCGAGGATCCAGGTCTGGAACAGCGCACCCCCACACACACAGAGTCAGAGTGTAGCTGCCAAAAATAAAAGTGGAGGGCAGGAATCCAGGTGATTGTATCTCTATTCTGACTTGACAATTGGGTCTGCAGATCTTTTCACAGACAGAAAACAGAACAATACAACGATTCCTTCATTGTGAATCAGGGAACAGAGACTTAAGTGGGTGTGGAAATTCCTGCGTGTAATTGATCCCAATCTGTTATATCATCCTCAGGCTGGATTCACAAAACCTCTCAGGAAAGAGCTTGTAGGGCGCAACACTAAAGACCAATTCATAGTTTCTGTGTGTCCACAAGGGTTTGCTTTGGTTCATGTGACGTTAATTTCGTCATCCACATATATCTGCAAGTGTGATGCAGATGTCTGCGTGCAGCCCTTTTTTTGTGACCATGTGGACTGTATGCATAGCAAGCACGCCGACTGCACATGCTCCACACTCCAGTCCAGTCCATAACACTGCGGTCCAGACAGCAGCAGCCACTGCACCGTAGTGAAGTTAGTTTTAAGTTTAAACGCAGCAGCAGTGTTTTCCTTGTTTCAGTTTCACCTGACATAGGCAGTAGGATGACGGTAAACTCATGCATCCTCAATTGTACTATGAATAGAATTGCGTCCATGTACATCCAATGTGGAAAGTACGTCTGAGCCTTAACTTTAAAAAGTGGTTGCCAGATTGGCAACAGGCATCAGCTTTTGTTGCTGAAACTGAGAAAATGATTGTCTTTTTTAGTCACCTTGTAATAGGAATAATTAAGATACAATGCAGTTAATACGTCATTTTAATAATGAAAATCTGGCATAAAATAATCTTTTAAAGCTTTGTCACTGTCACCAAACAAAATTCGTTGTATTTGTATTTTGTTTTTTGCCTTTATTTGACAGGACAGTCCAAGCGTGCAAGTGGGAAAGAGAGGGGAGGACACAAAGCAAAGAGCCACAGGTCAGAACCAAACCCACAGCCACCAAAGCAAGGACATCGTCCCTGCACATGGGATGCCCACTCCGCCCACCAAGCCACCGGGCACCCTGTATTTGTGTTTTATCTGACACCTTACTGAATTTGAAACTGAAGTGCAACTTAATTGGCTTCACCATTGTCTCTAAAACAGATGCCTGTGTGTAAACGCACCAGTGCACGTGCAACTTTGCTATGGTGCAGCACTGTTCCAGTTCTGACTGCCATCTCTATGCATTATGTTAAAAAGCAGTTGCCACTGGTGGAAACCAAAGGCCAAGACTTGGTTGCCAATTTCCCAAAATGGTCGTCAATGGCCACTTGGCAACTGATACTGTCAAGCTCTAAACTTGATTCAAGAAAGAAATGATAGATGTGTCACTGTTCTTCTATTTTGTAGTTTGTGAATAAAAAGGCTTTTTGAAAGCAAAAGTTGCCACAACTGATATCTTTGTCACAGTTTTTCTTCCGGCACCAAATAGGCTCTCCAGTTTGGATAACTTAGCTGAGCATAAAGACTGGAAACAGGGGGAAACAGCTTGCCTGGCTCTATCCAGATGTAAAAAGAAAGCTGTTTTTACAGGACAGTTTTCTATAGATTAAACAAATTAAATATAAAATGTTAGCTAGTGAGCTTTACAGGAGTTGGCTGGCTGACTTTGTTATCTGCAGATGGAGCCAGGCTATATTTACTGTAAAGACATGAGAGTGGTACCAATCCTTTCATCTTTTCATCTGGAAAAGGAAACCAGCATTTATCCTAAAATGTAGAACTTTTCCTTTAAACTCTGAGAGGAGGCAATCATTTGTACTTCTGTTTTTTCATACTTGTAAATATTTGTTTGTCCTCAGTGGCCCAGCCTGCAGAGCTGAAATCTGTAGCTTTCCACCAACAACTTAACATGTATCTGTGTGTGAGTGTGTTTGTGTGCATTCAGACATTCTTGACCCCACTCAGAGGTCTTAGTCACACAACAAGGCTTTCACTGGAGGCCTGTTTAATATTCAGTCTGTTTCTCTGAAACACACACTGAACAACTGCAGCAGTCCTGCACAGCACTCGTGTTTTCATCAAGATGTTGGAAGAAAAAAAATGAATGAATGAAGTTATATAAATAATCCCAAGAGTGGATTAAAATAGAGTGTAGGCTTGTGTGTGAAGTGTGTGTGTGTGTGTGTGTCCGTCCACACCTCAAACTGTGGCCAGTTCATGCTCATGCCCGGTCCGTGGGTGTTCCTCCACCATCTCAGATCTTCGGTGTCATTGGCTGCTTGGATGGTCTGACCCAGATCCCGGTACAGGACTTTGAACCTATTGGACAAAGTGACTGTCAGTCATCACATCTACTGTACACCCTCATCCTCCTCCTCCTCCTCCTCCTCCTTTAAAATTCTGTCAGTAGAGATTTTAAAGTCTGTCACAGTTTAACATTCTTCTGTCTGACTTTGTGTTCTATGATAACATTTTTTAAAAGCCTCTCGTTCACAGATGCATGTTATCAGGTCTGCCTAATTAGGTACTGACCAGATTAAGGCTTAGTTTGTTAATGCAGATATTTATTTCAGTTACATTTTTTGGCCTTATAACTTCAGTGTTATTTATGACTTTCCCCTGTTAACACAGAACTCCCCTGACAACACACTCTAATTCCAAAGTCATTAAATAGCGACACTTGGTCAGTGGTCTGTCGTGTATGACATTCTAGGTACCCCTCCAGCATCAGTTTTGCATGCAGAGGAACAGCTTGTCAATTTGCGCTTGTTATATGCTTTGTGTCTTTTCAAAATAAACTTCTGTTCTCACAGGAAATAGTGTGCTACACATACTAGTGGACTATGGTGTTATTACAATACCTCAACTGGCTTTTGGTTTTACATGGAAGGCTAACAGTGATCAACCAGGGGTAGAGTCTGGAGTTTGTTTGGTTGATCTATCTCCCCTCCCACCCATCACAAGTGGACTTTTTGCGCTCTTTATAATGTTAAGTGCTATATCGTAGGCAGCTGGACTTGCTTGAGTTTCTTGAAGACATTTCACCTCTCATCCAAGAGGTTTCTTCAGTTCTAACAGACTGGTGCGGAGTCGAAGGCTTTAAACTCTGTGTGGGCATGAAGACTTGGAGTCATTGAGGTCATATGCGAGCTCTGCTACAATATAGCACTTAAGATTACCATGACCTGGATGACTGAGAATCTTCACAGACATGCGTTCTTTATACTACAGCAATCGTGGTTGCCTTAGTGCATTGGCATCTGACTTGTATGGCCACTAAAAGGCATCTATCTGAAGAGGTGGAGTGAGACTGGGTTGCCTCTGATGAATTATCAGACTTAAAGCTGCTGTAATCCATGTTTTTATATTGACAGAGTGACAATGATAATATGAAAACAATGCAACGACGTGAAAGGGTTCGCTCAAGGTGATAAACCTGCAGCAAATTATCACCTGAATCTGCAGCTTGCCTTGGGTTTACAGAGCTTTGTAGTGAGTTTCAGCTCACTGTTTATCTGTCTGGCCCTCAACTTTACTTTTTGGCTTCACTTTCACAGCTCTCATAGCGCCAACAGTGCTCTAAAACTTCACTGTGCATTAACTGCTCAGCAGCAAACAGCAGACAGACACGGTCGGAGACTAGTAAGATATTTATTGGTGCAGCTTTTAAGACAACTAGAAGACAAGACACTTTAAACACTTTACACTTTCCTGCTCTGAATATTACATACATAATTACAGTGCTCACACACTGTATTTTACAATTACTATTTACACTGTATTCTGAGGGCTGGGCGTTTACATTCCTGAAGTCTCCATTTAACAGGTGGAATTCCAGATAAGACTATTATAAGTGCATAATTTGTGGTCAGTATTATCAGCTCTGTGTTTGTTTGGTAACATTCAGAGATGATATGAAGGAAAAACCTGCATCTGTTCATCTGAATCCAACCTTCCCAGTACCTGCAGGTAAATGTCTGAAGGCTGTTTGAACATTGAACTTCCACTTAAGTCTGTATACTGAATTCAACAGAGAACAGACCAGAGGCAACTACTCTTAAAATACATTTTTAAAAACTTTTAAACAACAAGGAGCAGGAGCAGACCAGTAAAATTACTTCTTTTTATCAATGGAGTCTGGCTTTAAAGAGAGCATAGACACGTTTCACTTTCTGTTCAGTTCCTTGTTGGAAACAGCTTTTTGTTTAGTACTGAGCATACGACTGGATAACTAAGACTTGGATTATACTGCACAAGTTGTGTGAGTTAAAAAAAATGATATTTTGATAAATATGGACCCCTTTACTTCAATTTATGAAGAATGTTTGCCTTTTTGAATTCCCCGTTCACTGTGGAGGCATGCGAGAAAAAATTTTCTTCATTAATTCAACATAACACAGGACGATTTAGAGGACAAAGTCTCACTTTGGTGGAGCCATTCAACTTTTAAACACATGCAGGTGGACACTGCTTCATTTAAAAGTTTAAGATTATATTTTTCCAAGCTTGTCATGACATAATACTTTCCACATGTACACTGAGTCAGCAGCTTTTTGTCGCTGCATCATCCTCCCTCTTTTAACTTCAAAGTAAGTGATGGAGGACAAAGTCAGTCTTTGTTTGGTGTAAAAATACATCCTGATGTTTAGCTGTAGCGAATAAGGCTACAGCAGTAGGAGTTAGACAAAGGAAAATGGTTTCTTCCAAAGTTAGAGCATTTTTGTAATAAATTCCCTCTTTGCTGTAAGAAAAGAGGTAATTTGGTACATAACTACCTAATTGCCATTTAATTTGGTTGGCGAGCCTCATATTAGCTAAAATTGAGAGCACGTAATACCGAAAAAACTTTGGATTAAATTCCCCTACAATTACACTGGAGTTATATTAAAAAAAAGAGATCTCTTTACAGTCAGTTTGGATGAGAAGAATGATTACAGCAACCAAGAACAGTTTAAATGTACACATGAGCCTGTGAGAGTTGGTTTAAGACATAGCCTACTTTAAGAAGCATGAACCAACTCTTTAACTTAAGGTCCACATGTGATTGTTAAAAACTTTCTGAGGAACACCCTCTCAATATCAAGACAAAAAAGGTGTGTGGTCTGTTGTGCCTGAAACCCGTCCTTTTTCCTCAAGAAATATTCTTTAGCTTCCCAACACATCCCGGGTGCTTTGCGTTAAGGTGTCTCTAGGGCTTTGAACACGTATGTCTCTACCCCCCTCTATGTGTTGTGATTGGCATGGTGATATTCAGATGTAACTAGTTGCTGAAATTACATTTTTTTACTAACTTTGTGTCGTAAATTACAAAAAAAAGGGATGGGGGGTCACAAGCCAAAAACGTTGTAAGCACTGCCCCCTGAGTGCCTTCATTTATGGTAGTTCAGTTCAGGTAATGAAAGAGTTCAGTCTGTGAGTCTGGACTGTGGGTTTGGACCGAGGTCAGTGTAGGAGGACAGGTGGTCTCTCATTAGGAACCTGAACAGTCTTTCTGTGCTTCAACTTGAACTGCAGACTTTAATTTTGGGGAATAAACCACTTAACTGTGAAGTAAACCTTTACCAAACAAAAGACAAATATTTGAATATAAATAAAGTCACCAGCTGGATTTTCTCTGGTCAAATCTCATCACTTCCTCTTCACAGAGTTAATTAAAGATAAAGTTTTTCTTCAATGTTTGGACAAAGACCTTGTTGGACTTAACCAATCGTGGTTACTGTGGAAACGGTGCCTTGTTTAAACAGAATGAGAGGTCAATAGTTAATGGACAACACTGTGAGTTTTCTATTAACTCCTGTGCACATACACACATGTTCAAACACACATTGAAACCTCGACAGTTCTGCATGCCTTCGTTCTGAGTCATGGATCATGAATCACCTTACTCCTGTTTCCTCTCAGGATGTGTGTGTGTCTATGCATGTATGTGTATGCATGCGTGTGTGTCCTACCCTTCTTTGGCGGACAGGTCGAGGTGTTTGTGGATGTCCAGCAGCATGTCTTTAAAGAAGCGCAGCCTCCTACGCTCGGCCTCCTGGGTGAGGTCGAACACCTGCTCCATGTCCTCCATGTAGCGAGGGTTACAGCGGTTCAGATCCTCCAGGGCCTTTGAGTAGCGCTCCTTCATCTGCAGCACACACACAGAGCACACAAGCAGAGTACATACTGAGCTACTGTACAACCCTTTGTCACCACACATTTATCAGAAAGATGAAGAGAAGCTTAAGTGCCTTTGTGTCAGCAGTTAGGATGGAGTCTAAATTTTCAAACATTAAACCAAAGGATTGATGGCTGCTCCGTTAGTGGGCAGCGTACACACTGTGAGAGATGTAGTTCAAGTGTCATTCTATTACAGCTGCTGGTGAGAGGCTGTGACTGTATCGACTATATGTAATGATGTGCAGCTGAGAGGTGTTGAATAGTGTTGAACCACAGGAATTAATATCTCAGGATCTTTTGCTAAATGTTTCATATGGAAAAAAAACTGCATTTTTAGCATGTGCTCCTGGATCAGTGCGCCTGTGAGTCCATGTGTGCTCAAGACTGCTATAAATACTAAAAGACAGCTGAATTGACCAAACCACATTAATGTTGTACATCTGTCTGTCCTGGAAGAGGCATCCCACCTCTGTTGCTCTTCCTGAGGTTTCCTCCATTTTTTCCCGTTAAAAAGTTTTTTTGGGTATCCCTTATTCAAACTGAGGGTCTAAAGGCCAACACACACCAAACAAACATCAAAGAACCAGTGGCAATGAACGCCGACTGTTGCGTCACGTCACATCGCCTGTGTCTCAGCCAAAAAGTTGAACTTGAACACCCCAAAGACCAAAGCCAAAGGCCAAATAGCACTTGGGCGTGAGAGGAAATAAATGTCCATACCAGCAGGTGATGAGATGAAAATAACACTAAATACTAAAACATAATCTAATGGTTGTTGGCTGGACAACTGTCTGTCACATCACGATTTAATGTCTGTAAAATAGATGATCAATCATTCACAAATATCTGGAAAGTCCAGCTCTTGTACATACTCGAAAAAGGGATCCGACATCATACATAATTTCCTCAGGGAGCCTGTCATGACACACCTGATTCTTTCCAGTTTGACAAAATGAAGGACTTCCCTCATCCATAGAGTGTGTGACAGAAGTATTGGGGACTTGCACTTCAGTAAAGCAGGTATGGACATTTAAGAGAAACCAGAAGACACACAGGATGGATTCAAGCCGTAGTTAACCACATTAACAACACAACCCGATGCTGAAAGAACAAAGGATATTTACTGTGAGCTAGCTAGCTTTCCTAATATAACAAGTTTGTTTCCATTCTTGACTTTAATCATCTGTTTGCTCTCCTCACTTCCGTTTCTCTTCTTGTGCACTGAACTATCCAGCCAAAATGATTTTTATTCAGCAAAGGGCTCAGCCATCTCCAACACTGATTCAACATGCTGAATCGTCCAGAAACAGTCGACAAGGACTGACTGGTGCCAACACTGCACAACAAGAAGAACAGACAACAGCACTGTCAAGAAAAGACAGTGGTGTATTTTTAGTACAGCACTTTGGTCGGCTTAAGCTGCTGTTTAATTACTTGACTTGCTGAGGTACAGTATTCACCTCTCCTTTATTACAAAAGTATTCCAAATTAAAAGAGTACTTTCAATCCAACCCTATCCCAGATCCATATTCATATGGGTGAGTTGGATGTTTTACTTCTCTCAACTCCTATAAATTTAAAAAGAAAAAGCTTGACGTCAAGGATTTAAGAGGCAGCATGTCATAATGGTCTTTGTCAGGATTGGGACGCTCGTTCCATATGAGGCGTAAGGTTTTCCATCTAACAGGATGGCATGTTAAGTGTTGTTTACCTAGGTGACGTGTTGGAGGTGTGGTGGTTTGCACTGCAGCCTGTCGTCTGCAGCTTTTCATACATCCTGCTCAGTGTGGCTGTGTTTTCTTCTACTATTCCTCCTTACATTATATAAACTGATCCTATGAAAAAAAATCTCATAAATCATATTACTTACACAAAGTTGGACTCAACAACAGCATGTGCCGAATCCTGTAATGAATACAGCCTCTTCAAATTAAAGGCTTCATGTGATCAACTGTGGGAAACTGTTAGTGTGGATGAATAGCAGCAGGAAGTGATCAATTTAGCTTAGCATTAACAGTAACCTAATACAGCAAATACAACCATGACGCTGCTGTAGGACATTTAGGTGTGATTGGTGACAAATAACAAATTACCTATTGTGATCACCTCTGAACCCCTCAGACAGGTCAACAGTGATCGACATGTTGTACTGGTAGTACGTGTCAACAAATGACTTAAGTCTACGGGCTACTTCAGGCATTTTTCCCCAAACTATACAACTGAGCCATGATATTGGATTTCATTTCCTTGTCCTGTCTTTTGTCTCAGGATTTCCCTGTTTCTGGTCGATCATTTCCTTCTCCAGGACCTGAAGCTTTTTTTTGTGCAGTGGGGTTTTTGTGTAGAGCAGAGAACAGCGGAGACAAGCCCGGTCATGTTTCAAAACTCAAAAACACACACACAGGTATGTTTTTCTGGACTCACTGACACACCCAGACTGGAGCAAGTGGAGCTACGCATGGGACTATCTCTAAATGTGTGTGTGTAAGTGTTTGTGTGTAAGCTTTGTACTTTGTCAGCCTCCTGGCTGCAGCGCTCTGCCCGGGTCGTGAATTTGCGAACTTCCTCCTGTGACTTGGTCGGGTCAGCTTTGGCGTGTGTTTCCCTGGTAACCGCTGTCCACTCCTCCTTCCTTGCCTGATGGTAGCTCTTCTTACTGGCTTCCACCTTGACACACACACACACACAATGACACACTATGATTTGCTGTTGTGATGAAAACAGCTTCTCTAGCATTCACCACACCTCATTATCTTTCCCGAATTGCAGTTTGTTTCCTGACTGATTGATTCTCAGATTAATTACCGATTACTTAACAGTTGACAACGTGTTACTTAACCATAATTAAAACCTATGCTGTTGGTACCTACAGCGGGACTCCCATTAACTCCTTGGGTCAGGTATAAATGCAGCTCCACTGACATCAGAAACCACTCAGACAGCCCTCACCTCCTTCAGTTTGCGGACCCAGGGTTTCTGTGCTTTGCGGAAGCCGTCGTCTGCATCCTTGGTCTCTCTGAAGCCTCCCATCATCTGCTTGTGGAAGGCATCCTTCTGCCAGCTGCGCACCTTCTCAGTGTCCTCGCCCGCCAGCCGCTCCCGCAGCTCCAGATGCAGCTCGCTGATCCGATCGGCTGCCTGCATAAAGGCGTGCCACGCTTTCTCCAGTGTACCGTACTGAGGACCTGAGGGGAGAGGAGAAACACCATCACATTTAGGGGGAAACAAAAAAAAGAAAAGAAAAAGATTGCTGTTTGATTTGGTGAAGATCCCAATTTGACAGTGTTACCAAGAATTTTTGGTAACACCTTCTATTAAGACCACATCTATAATGTATTATAGGGGCATTCATAGCGAATTATAATGCATTTATAATTCCCTATGACTACACTCATAAACACATGTAATGCTTACTGATGCACTTTATCAAGTCATAGAACATTACAGATGTGACTTATAATGAATTATAAGTGTCTTATGGATGCTCTTAACTAGTTATAAACTAGAGGTTGACTAATGGGGCTTATGATGCATTATGAATACCTATACTCACCTATAAATATCAACTGTATCAACAATCAACTGTAATAAGGACTCATAGTATGCTGTAATAGTCTATGCAGTTTCACAAGTTATCATTGTATGTGTTAAGTAAAGTGACGTTCATACTGATGCATCTATTCACTCACATTTAAAGACAATGTCTCATCTGTCAGAGAGTTTTTAGTCACAGAAGCAGATTTTGCAAAAACTAGGTTTCTTGCAGTGTCACTATTTGCAAGACTGTTTGCAAGATTTCAAAAAAATTGTTGCAGCCTTCAAGACTGCAAGGGAGTATGCTTTATGCTATAGTTAGCTAGCTAGCTAATCACTGTCCCCATTTCAAACAATGCTGCTCATAAGCTAACGTTACCCAGTTTATAACTCGTCGAGCATCCATAAGACACTTGATACTTATAATTCATTATTAGACGCATCTATAATGTTCTATGACTGTTGATATAGTGCACCAGTAAGCATTATGTGTGTTTATGGGGGTAGTCATAGAGCATTATAAATGCATTACAATTTAATATGAATGCCCCTATAATGCATTATAGATGTGCTCTTCATAGAATGTGTTACACAGTATTTCAGTCAATGCTTTTAAGTACTTTCCCTGTCCTGTCTAAAATTGAGTGAATGTGTGATGTTTGCATCAAAGTTAATAATTGTGGTAAACGTAGTGTTTTGCCATACTACAGGTTAATGTGAAGCAAAGTAAAGTTTGTGTTTTGTAAAATCCCTGCATATTTGTTGCTGAGTTTTATGTATTTTAAAGGCTAGGAAAGGACACTGCAAATTAGCTTAGGCTGTAAATGCTGTGGTGTGTGGCATCGATTTATGCTACATACTTGTCCCTATACTTAATAAACATTAAATAAACTAATAAAAAAGCTTGTTTGCTCAAACACAGCAGATATTTTTCTTTAGGGTGCTGGCTAATTAAAGGACAAATCAATGTACCAAAGCTTCAAGTCTTTCCTTAAATTATTTTCATGGTGTCCCAAACCAAATGTTTCTCGTGTTAATAATTAATTCAGAGATTAAGTGACTTGTTTGCAGACCCTTGCAGTGAAAAGACCAAACGTTCCCAAAAACAGCAAAGGTAAAACATTAAACACAGTTTTTGGTGTAATTTTTCACCCCACATGATCAGTGTTTTCAACTTACCTTTCTCCACGACACCCCTCCACCTCTTGGCCCAGTCGCTCAGCTGCAGAGCGTAGCTCTTCTCTATCTTTGCCCTCTCCTGGAAGCAGCTGACCAACTCATTACACAGCCGGTGACCATCGTCTATCCGCTTCACCGTTCTTTTGTAGTTCCCCGGCTGCAGAGGAATAGAGCACACAGATACAGTAAAAACACACACAATGAGTGAGGAAACAGAATAAGAATAAACTGCTGTGGGGCTCTTAAAATCATTTTCTGCTGTTATATCAGTAGGTCAATCAGTTCAACGCCCCTCACCTACATGCTAATATTAGTGCGGCAAAATGTTTACACGGCAGGATGTTTAGAAGACCAGTGATGATGTACACAAGACTAAAATAGAGACTAAATGAGAAGAGTGAAAGGAGGAGGACAGAGCAGAGAGTGAGTGGAAGGTTGAAGGTATGTAGTTTTTCCAGATGGAGGGCTGTGAAGCCGGCAGTCAGTCAGCAGGGACTCATTATGTGTCTGTGTCTCTATCTAAACACCACCTCCGGCTGCTCCTCTCAGCTGCTCCCATAGTACACAATCATCAAGTACGCAACACATGGATTCTCCAGGTTTTCTGTCTCATGAGCAGAAATATTTAGGATTTTATTGACTAATGCTGTATCTGATCTGGTTTAATAAGCACAGAGATCATAATGTCTCCTGTCTGTTAAGTGAGTAACTGATTTTGAGGTGCTGTGGCTCAGTACATAGAGCGGGACGTCCACTAATCACAGGGTTGGTGGTTCATTTTCCCCAGCTCCTCCTGCCCACATGTCCAAGTGTCCTTGGGCAAGTTACTAAACCCCAAATTGCTCCCAGCATGTTAGCACCATGGTTAGTTCGCTGCCACTGGTGTGAGTGTGTGACTGAGAGGTAAGATGTAAAGCACTTTGGATAAAACAGCTCTATAAATGTAGCCATTAATGTGTGAGCTAATATTACCAGTCCAGTCCAGACCAGTCCTTGAGGTTTCTCTTAATGTTGGAAATGTGTGTGTGTGTGTGTGTGTGTGTGTGTGTGTTTGTTCCTACTGTACCTCCCAGAAGCTGTCTGAGCTTCCCAGGTCGCTGAGGTCCCCATTGGAAGACATTTTGGGGTCGGTCTTACAGCACAGAATGATGGCGGCTTCAGAAAATACTGCAGAGAAAAAGAGACAAAGAATACCATTTAATACATGAAGCTGATTTGAAGTGATAATCAGAGCTGTTACTGATGGTGATTTTTTGTAGTAATTCAGATTTATCTTGACCCAGATGGAAGTACACCAACATCTATGCATTTTTGTTGAGATCAAGACTTTGAAATTAAATTTTTAAAACAAGGAGGTCGTCCTTTAAGTGCTTTAGAAATTTGGATTCAAATAGCTAGAATTCTAGTTATTTTACTATAAAAAGTTTTTTTTATTTACACTTTACTTTATACAGTTTAACTTTTTTCTTTAGTGCTTCTTCTATATAATTACTTTTATTTCATTGCCGTTGTTTGTATTCACACTAATATTCCAATATAATATACTGAATTTGATATGTGTAATGTAAAAAGTATATTCTGTTTGGATATTCTGAATTAGGCCTTGTTTCAAATTTAGCAGCAAGGCTGGGCTGGAGATGAATGCTCAAAAGAAAAGCCAACATCTGTTGTCAGAGGATGAAAAACATCTACTTTTAAACATTATGAAAGACTTTGATAAACACGTTTTTGGATATGCAGAGATGTCATAATGCTGACTTTTTCATAAAGGAGAAAGGACCGAAAGAGGGAGGCTGTGTTTGCACAGTCCAACAAGTCCACCACTTAGTGGAAACTTTGAAAAAATGCATTTTGATGCAAAGAAGGAAAATGACGAGCAGCTCCAGCTGTTCCACTGCTCCATATTTTGTCGTGAAAAATATGTTTGGGCACATTAATCGGAGTATGCACAGCTGCATGTAAACGCAAATAATAGTGGAATATTCATTTTCATTAACCATGTAAGTAGTTTAATAGGGATGTTGTCTTTTCTGAATAACAGTAAAAACCTGACTATTCTGGGGCGTCGGTGGCTTAGTGGTAGAGCAGGCGCCCCATGTACAAGGCTGTTGCCGCAGCGGCCCGGGTTCGAATCCAGCCTGTGGCCCTTTGCTGCATGTCATCCCCCCTTCTCTCTCGCCCCCTTTCACGCTTACCTGTCCTGTCCATTAAAGGCAAAATGCCAAAAAAAAAAAACCTGACTATTCTGTGCATGTAAACATTGTCTCTGTTTCTAATCTAGTTTTATTTAGATAGTTGAATACCTTTTCATACATTTTCGTGTGTAGTGTGGAGGGGTCTGCAACTACATTTCAGTGTGCTGTACTGTATTGTATAACTAATAAAATCTTAAAAACAACTTTGAAAAAGAAAAAAAAACTAAATCTAAACATAGTTCATGTGAAATAAATGAAAAGAAAATATAAAAACATGCATTGTTTATGTAGAGGGGTCAACTAAAAAAACTTGTCCTCTGTTTCGGGCATCAAACCCGTGACCTTCCAGTCTCACTGCTTCACTGTACGCAGCTCTACAGTTTCAGCCTCCGTCAAACTGCAGCTCCACGTCAGTCGACACAGAAAGCTAAAGACTCTTCACCACTCGCTGCACACAGGGCTGTTTGCTCCACGTCGCTGCCCAATTTCTCCTACACACACAACCAGACTGTGTGTGTCCTACAAACACTGACGCCCCGTCACACACACACACACACACACACACACACACACACACACACACACACATCCGCTCTGTTACCAAGACAGGAATCTGTGTCAGCCAGTTTGTCCATCCACAATGGATCTCTTTCATCAGAGAGAAGACCCACAAACATTTGTATTGAACCGTCTGATAATAACTCACAGCTACAAATTATTTTAACTGTGTAATGTCTCTGCCTCTTCATCTTCAACAAAACCAAGACTCAAACTGCCAGAACGAGGGACAAGACACACACCTGTGCTGTAACTTAAAGGTGCCCTGCAGAGTTTCTTGAAGACAAACAAAAGCTATGTTAACATTCGGTGTTCACCACCAGTACAGTTCACCAGAACTCTTCGGGTGTATCTCTGAGGTCTAACAAATGTATTAAATGCATTTTCTTCCTCCTACAAGATTAGCAATGCTGATAAGTAAAGTATATTATGCCCTGCATTGTTTACATTCATGTTTACTTGCTACCTGTCTTCTTCTTCTTCCCTGCCTACGTTGGTACATACCTGCATATATTAACTTACTACCACCACCTGTAGATAAGTGGAAACGTGCGAAACCAGGCATCCTGATCTGATGCCCGTACCACCTTAACCTGCCCTTTAAGGTGCTGTGACTTTACTCAGAGCTCCCTCCAGATATCTTAAATGGCACATTCAGACACAGTCTACCTCGCCTGGTATGGGGACACTAGAGCCCCCCACTGGACCCAGACCTGGGAGTGGGGAGCTTGCCAGCGAGCGTCTGGTGGCCGGGCCTTGGACCACGTTGCCCGGTCAGGTTCAGCCTGAGTGAATAACATGGAGCCGCCACCCTGTGGGCCTACCACCTGCAAGGACTGGCATTGGGAATGGGTGTGTTGTGTGCTGGGTGGCAGGCAGGGGGGCTGTACATCTTTGTGCATGAGATAAACAAAACATGGTCCCACTTAAAGAAAAACAGATCTACAGCACTAGAACACTGCTATTTTGTTCAGTACTAACACTATCCAGAACGTTTCCAACAACACCCAGAGAAATCTCTATCAGATGCTGTCTGTGTCATTTGGTTGTCAGCGCTTTTCAGTGGCATCATATCCCCACTGCGCATGTGTCAGGGTTATGTTTGTCCTCCAGATGCTGTTATGAATTGACTTTTTATCCAGCTTTAAGAAATATTTTTGAGATACAGATCTTGATTGTTTTTTCCAACATGTTTTAACTGGATGAAGGATTCCAATCATCAGACATCTAGGTCTCAAATTATCAGACAAACAAGCTAAGCAAATGTTAGTGGCAGCTTAGCATCAGCCCATCATGCCAAACAGCGTCTGAGAAACACACATTTTTACAGTGAAACTGCTTTATTCAGTGTTTTTAACCAGTTTTAATCACCGGGATGGTTTGTTTTGGAGAGGAGGAGACCTCTGGAGATATTCCTACTCCTGAACGTCTGGATCTTAAGTTATCAGAGAAAAAAGGGTGAGCACATATTCGCAAAGAGCTGGACTAGCAGCCCCTCCAAAACAACCCGAAGAGAAACACTGATTTGAAATGTGAAACTGATTTATTCAGTGTTTTCACAGGTTTTAATCACCTGGCCTGTTTGTTTTGGAGAGGAAGAAACCTCTGCAGATAACTCGCCTCCTGAACGATGAACACTGAAGGAATCCTAACTGGGAGAAACTGACTCTTATGACAACACCACTCTGTGTTTTGTTATTGTTTCGACTGTTATCTTAGTGACAGAGAATCACATACTGTACGTTTAAGAGAGAAAAACAAATGTTTATTTGTATCTAGAAGTCAAAATCTGCTACACTGTGATCTGTAGTTTTCAGCATCTATATTTTGTTGTTGTTTTGAAAGAGACCTCCAGCAACCTAAAATTACATATTGTACATTTAGGAGACAAAACATTTGTATCTATAAATTACAACCTCTCCTGACACCAAAAGTGTACACTACAGTAAGCCCTCAAGTTTTTATGGTGGACTCTTCCAGAGGAGTTATCAGAGGAGTGTCATGACACAGTAGACTAAACCTATGTTGTGAGCTAATTTGACAGTTTAATCACTCTAAAGCACTTTGTTCTACAGCAACAAGGCTCGACTTGACAAGACAGTGAGAAGTTCCTGGTTATTTTTCCTCCTCTCTGTAATTGATAATATTCTCTAACTGTAAATGACTCCCAAAATAACAGCAGTGGCTGTAGATGTGCACTGGGAGCAGGCTGGCGCTAAATTAGATGCTGGGTACAACAGTAGCCTTGGTGAGCTCTGCAGGGAACAATGTGGGAGTGAGTCTAAGTAAACTCTACAGTTAGCTCAGACTCCAGAGGAAGGACTTGCACTTACTTGTGCTACATGCTAACGCCAGACTGAGCCTTGAATAAAAGAGATCAGGCTTAATATGTATGTGTAGGTGTGTCTGTTGTGTCTCTCAGGAGACAAGCGGCATTGAAGATTAGCCAAATGCTGACGTTCAACAACACAACAACACAACATCGCACCTCTCAGACACTGCAGCTAATCCCATTCAGACAGCTGAGCTCTAATTTTCTGTCCGCACTGTGAACACTGCACAGGTGGAGGCAACAGAAGGACAGTCGTGTGTGCGTCTGCGGGTGTCACAGGTGAATGATAAGTATGCTAGCAGCGGTGGTATCTGCCACCAGCATGCTGGAACATGAGTGAGAATGAGAAAACTGACTTCGCTATGGATCACCAATTACTGCTGCTATATCCTACAGGACAGCAGTGTGTGTGTGTGTATGTGTGTGTGTGTTTGTGTGAGTATCTGGGTGCGGCTCACTGAAAGCAAGTAGGTTTGGCTGCTTACACTTGTATTACCTCTGTACCTGGTGGAGGTGTGCAGACGCTGACAAAAGAAATAAGCAGCTTAAAAGTCAACAGAGAGCTACCGTTCACCACAACTTGCTTTATACAAACCAGAAAACTCAGCCACAATTTCACAACAAACCACTGTGATGGTCGACGACATTCAAACACCAACAGCACTGCATTACAAGAGCTGGGGCCTGCCCATTAAAATTAACAGTATTTATTCTAGTATTTCTAATATGTTCATAATGATAACACCAATGCTGCCTCGGCTAAAAACTCACTGTACAGAAGACATGCAGATGTACAAGTCAAGACAAACTGTAACAGCACCGAGCCACCTCTCTCATGGTACTAAAACCAGGTCTAGTTTCTGCCTGAATTTAGTTATAACATTGTACACTACGGTTGCACGATGTGAGGAAAATCTAAGATGTGCAATAATGTTGTTCAATTGATGCCGATATGACTATGACAAATAAACAGCTATACAGATCTTTCTGCTTTAACACGTACACTGCTAACATCCCAAACACTGAATAGCCTATATCGACTGAAAAAAAGAAATACAATATTTTACACATGCATATTCTAC